AAGCATCTAAAGCCCTAACAGGGCACAGCAAATTAAGTTTCCTCTGGTCTGACGTCAGAAAAGGCGGAGGACAGAAAGCCTGCAGAACTATAGGTCTAACAAAAGTAGTTGGCACCTTAGGAACATAACCTGGTCTCGGACAGAGAAAGGGCTTAACCATACCAGGAGCAAATTCCAGGCACGAGGGAGCCACCGAAAGTGCTTGAATATCTTCAATTCTTTTTAGAGATGAGATAGCAAGAAGAAGGATAGTCTTAAGAGTAAGAAACTTTTCCGAAACTTCCTCGATGGGTTCGAAAGGAGCAAGGGAGAGACCTTCTAAGACGATGGCCAGATCCCAAGCTGGTACCCTCGTGTGAACTGCAGGCCTCAGCCTCAAGGTGCCACGAAGGAAGCGAGATATAAGTGGGTGTTTCCCGAGGGAACCTCCACTTGAAGGGGCGTGGTAAGCAGCTAAGGCCGCCACATACACCTTCAGTGTGGAGTGGGATAACCCTGTGGAGAGACGGTCCTGCAGGAAATCCAGCACTGTACCAACCGGGCAGTTAACTGGGTCCTGCTGGCGCTCTCCACACCAAGAGGTGAAAAGTTTCCACCTCGCGGCATATGGATGTCTGCCCCCTGATTCAAATACCCCGGGAGATAAATAGCTCTGAGAGAGAGAATTTTCCCCTGGGACCATAGAAGGATCTGACGTGCCAGCTTGTAAAGCTCCCAACACAGGGCCTTTGGACAGAAACCAAGGATCTTTCCACATAACCAGGGCGCGATGACACCGTCGCGAACTCATGATCATGCGAAGCGGATTTCCCCTCGGGGAGAATCCCCTGGTTCTGAGCCACCACTGTAACGGTCTCATGTGCAGGAGGCCAAAAGGTATCACGTTGGACGCAGCTGCCATGAGACCTAACAGTCTCTGGAACTGTTTTACAGTGGATGACCGGCCTAGCTTGACTTGATCTACTGCGGCGAGAATCGAAGCAACACGAGCAGGTGACAATTGTGCCTGCATCGTCGTCGAATCCCACACTACACCGAGAAAAGTGGTTCTCTGTAATGGAGAAAGAACACTCTTCTTGGCGTTGAGTCTCAACCCCAACCTCTTGATGTGAGCAAGAACGACATCTCGATGCCGAACCGCCTGTTGTTCCGATTGAGCTAGAATTAACCAATCGTCTATATAGTTCAGAATACGGATGCCCTGCAGCCTGAGCGGAGCTATAGCTGCATCCATACACTTCGTGAACGTGCGGGGTGACAGTGCTAGGCCAAACGGAAGAACCCGATATTGGTACGCTTCGCCCCCGAAAGCGAACCTCAGGAACTTCCTGTGTTGAGGGAGGATAGATACATGGAAGTAAGCGTCCTTTAGATGTATCATGACAAACCAGTCCTCGGATCTGATTTGTGACACGATCTGCTTGAGAGTGAGCATCTTGAATTTGAGCTTCCCTACAGTGCGATTTAAGACACGCAGATCTAGAATGGGACGCAGCCCTCCATCTTTTTTCGGAACGATGAAGTACCGGCTGTAGTTTCCTAACTCCCTGCTGGGTGGAGGAACCCGTTCTATAGCCCCTTTTTGCAGCAGAGTTTTTACCTCCGGTTCTAATACCAGAGCCTGCTCGGGGCCCACCACAGTGGGCAGAACCCCTCTGAACCGAGGTGGACGCGTTCTGAACTGAATAGCGTACCCGTTCTTTATAATATTCAGGACCCACTGAGAAACATTGGGAAGCATTTCCCATTCCGCCAGGAACTCTACTAAGGGAACCAGCCTCTCGAGGCTGGCCTCTGGATGAACATCCCGAGTGACAGACACAGCGCCCTGTAACATACTGGCAGGAAACAGCTGGTCTGAGCACTCCACAACCCTCCTCGGAGGGGGCGAGCGTCCCTCGGGAAATCGCTCGCCGAGTCTCTCTACGCCCTGTATAGGCAGGGTTAGTAGAACAGACCCCTGAGGGCATCGAGAAACACAGGGCACCGTGTTCTTGTGCGGTGAACTCAAGTTTTTCCCGATGGGGATCACCCTCGGAGTCCTGACGTTCAGCCCGTCAGGACTTTTTCGACGCGGCCTTCCTAGCGACAATGACTGTCCGGTTTCTCTGCGAGGGGCACGAGACGCGACACTCCGCTTCTGCTGTGCTCTTTTGGAAGAAGAACTCGACAGCTGGGACTGCCCTCGCTCAGCAGCCCCAGTGACGCTCTTCATTCGGTCACGGAGAGGTTCCAGGAAGAGAAAAAACAGGCGGCTGCTTTTCTTAAATTTATCCCTCTGAAGGTGCGTGACCTTCAGAGGGATAAATTTAAGAAAAGCAGCCGCCTGTTTTTTCTCTTCCTGGAACCTCTCCGTGACCGAATGAAGAGCGTCACCGAAGAGGCCCGCAGGCGAAACAGGAGCATTTAAAAGGAGAGACTTATCTTTTTCCTTCATAGAGGTCTGACTCAACCATAAGTGCCTTTCTGTGGCCACCATGGCTGCCATAGACCGACCAATAGATTTCGCGGACTCTCTGGTGGCACGCAGAGTGAGATCAGCAGTCTGCCTGAGTTCGCTAATCATATTACCAGAAATTTCACCCCCCTCAGAAACATCTTTGAGCAGGTCGGCCTGATAAGCCTGCATAATAGCCATCGTATGCAAACACGCAGCCGCCTGCCCAGCCGCCGAGTAAGCCTTCCCCACCAGCACAGAGGTATTCTTTAGTGGTCTAGATGGAAGAGCCGGTGCTTTAAGTGAAACCGAAGAAGCAGGAGAGAGATAGCTCGCGAGCGTCTCCTCCAGCTTCGGCATCGTCACATAACCAGCAGATTTAGCACCAAAAATTTTACCATAAGCATTTGACTGATTCGTGTAAATTCTGCTAGAAACTGGTCTAACCCAGGTCTTTGAAACCCCAGCATGAAGGTCTGCGAAGAACGGTAAGCACCGGCGAGAAGGTTGAGGTCGTGCAGACAGAAATCTATCATCTAGTTTGCTTTTAATTTTAGAATCCTGTCTATCAGCTGGCCACTCGATACTGAGCTTTTCAACAGCCCGAGATAACACATCCATCAAACCTTCTTCATTTGCAGTATAATGTGTCACACTAGTTTCCTCTGATGCAAAACTTTCGACATCTAGCTCCTCAGAACTGGAAAATCTCAATTCAACATCATCATGTGCCTCCACCCGGGCAGAAGTAACCGCCGGAGCGCGTGCTACCAAAGCCGGGTGAGAGGCACTAGATCTCGGCGGAGATAGCTGAGATAGGGCGGAGCCCGTCTCAACGTCGCCAGCGAGATCCATCTGCGAGCCCCAAGACAAGCGCCGCCGCTCTGCCTCAACAGAAGCGGGACCCGAGCCTCGGGGAGCTCGCAGCAAACCACTCTCCTCGAAGAGCGATCGCCGCGAGCGCAGAGTTCTCAGAGGAAAGCGCTCGCAATGCTCACAATCGATTCCCTCGAGAGCCGACTGGGCATGCTGCACTCCCAAACAAGCCACACATAGCTCGTGTGAATCCCCACCCGTGATGTATCGAGTACAGGGGGACACACACTTCTTATACTGCTCGCTCATATTGTTTTTTTTATATAATATATATATAGTGATAAACTCCTGACAAAGCAGACAAACACAATCGACAGATTCAGACACACACAGAGCTGCTGAAGTACGAAAAGCTGGCGTATTGTGTGCTCAGGGGATATTTCTAGCTTCCTGGTCGATGACGTCACTCTCCGTACGCTCATTCTCTCCATTGACTGATTTCATTCATTCAATTCAAATTTCAATTCAAATTTATTTGTATAGCGCTTTTCACAATACATATTGTTTCAAAGCAGCTTTACAGAAAGTGCATTTCAGAAATGTACATAGAATATAGTTAGTTAATCATCATGTATTAATTTAGGGCATAACATATTGCCGGCGTTGAGTCGTCTCTTCACAGGCGTTTAGTCGTCTCATCGCAGGCGTTGGGGCATCAGAAGTCTCCGTGAGAGGCTGGATACAAACTGGAGCTGACGAACGCTATTTACCTCGGGACTAGCGTCCCGAGATAACAGCAGAAAAGCAGATGGGAAATAATTAGCATAGCTGCTGTTCATAATATTAATGCATTCGATCTGATTCAACAGTGGTATAAAAGGTAAGCATTATGTGAATGCTTGGCTGAAGAGATGCGTCTTTAATCTAGTTTTGAACTGGGAGAGCGAGTCTGAGCCAAGAACAGTATCAGGAAGGCAATTCCAGAGTTTAGGAGCTAAATGTGAGAACGCCCTCCCTCCTTTAGTGGACTTAGATATCCTAGGAATGACCAGAAGCCTCGAATTTAGGGATCTTAAAGAACGCGATGGATTGTAGGGCGATAGAAGGTCCATTAAATACACAGGAGCTAAACCATTTAGGGCTTTATAGGTCAGTAGTAGTACTTTGTAATTGATACGGAACTTAATAGGTAACCAGTGTAGAGATGATAAAATCGGTGTTATATGATCATATTTTCTTGACCTAGTAAGAACTCTAGCGGCTGCATTTTGCACTAACTGTAGCTTGTTTATTGAGGATGCAGGACAACCAGCTAATAAAGCATTACAGTAATCTAGTCTCGAGGTCATGAATGCATGAACTAACTTTTCTGCATCAGAAATAGATAGCATTCATGCTTCAGACGCGTCACGCTGAAGGCGTTCCCACTGCGATTACACGCAGCGGTAGTCCCTGAAGGGGAACTGGTAGGGACTGGATCTGGTGAATCGGGGTACTGACTGAGCTGAGATGGTTCTTTAGTCTCCTAAAAAAAAGAAAAAAAAAATTCTCTGTTGTAACTCGGACGTAATAATTTTGTACCATGTGCAATTTATTATATATACATATATGCATATATATTTATTTATATATATATATGGGTAAACAAAATTAACATAACTAATATAAAGTTAAGTTATTGTTATTTTAACAAACACCACATGCCGCTTACACTTACATTGTTGTTCTGTATAACCAAGTTTGGCACAGCAGTTGATTTCAGTAATCGTCGACTTTTTTTTCCTACTGGCTTGAAGTCGTCAGGTGTAAAATGTTCACTGCACAACCTCATTTGTTTGACGACTTTCAGTGGTAAATTAACATCCCGCTGAACAGCCAGCAGCCATAGCTTCAGTCGCTCAAGATCATTAAATGGGAAAGTGAAAAAGGTAAGCCGTTCATTTTGCAACATTGAAGCACTTTTACGTTCTCTGGTTGGTTTCTCACGATTCGGACATCCTGGAAATGCACACTTTTTAACCATTGTATATGATATAGCGAGACCTACAGCACATTAAGTGTCGAATTGAAAAGCGTATGTACAGCGCGCGTCTTCCTCTGCTTGTAAACAGAAAGTTTTGCGCTTCCAACACGTCATCTTATACGGTAGGTGGCGGTAATACTCCTAAGCGGTGAGCAGCCGGTAACAAGAAGTAGTCGAAGAAGAACGTCCTCATCTCATTTCTCGCGCATGCGTTCTGGAAATCTCTTCAACTCTCGTCTCAAGGCCGACAAGGAAGTAACGGAATAGTCGAATAAAGTCGTTATTTATGTGTTTTTTTTCGCACAAAAAGTAGTCTCGTCGCTTGATAAACTTATATTTGAGCCACTGTAGGCACATGGAATATTTAAACATTTTCTTTAATGACTTTCTGGGCCGTCAAGTGTCATTCCCTTAGGAAGCCTATGTAGCAGTGATCCAGCTCTCAGATTTAATCAAAAACATCTTCATTTGTGTTCCGAAGATGAACGAAGGTCTTACGGGGTTGGTACAGCATGGGGGTGAGTAATTAATGACTTAATTTTCATTTTTGGGTGAACTAACCCTTTAACTCCCCACTGGCAAAACAACACTGGTCAAACTTTAATCGACATAAAATCTTCGATGGGAGGACTACACACCATCATACCAGGATGCGACACTCATCGCCCTCCTTTTCGGTGTCCATTCCCGAAGTCTCTTTGTCGATTATACTGTTTACCTTATCGGAGAAAGCGTCGTAGAAGACGCGGAATTCGAGGCGGCCTTTTGGTAAAACTGAAGGCAAGCCTAAAGACTCAGTCGGTTCAACCATATTCACCCTTATGTGATTTAATTAAAAAGAAAGCCTATTTTGTCGCCGTCCGTTCTATGGAGACGCCGTACCAGTGGATTACGTCTGTTTCGGACTTCGTTGATCAGCTCCCGCTGCGCCGGCCTGCTGTGCTTCGCAGACGGAGAGTGACTTCACAGGATCTTTGATCTCTGCGTCGCGATTTGGATGTAACGGAAGTCTCTACTGAACTAAGGTTTGCTCTAATAAATGTGCGATCTCTCACAAACAAAACATTTATTTTAAGAGACTTTTTTAAAACTCAGAGTCTGGATATTTTATGCCTGACAGAGACTTGGGTAAATACTGGTGACTTAACGCCATTTTCAGAGTAACTCCCTCCAAATTGTGGTTTTCTGAATACCCCTCGGTCTTCTGGTCGTGGAGGTGGTGTAGCGTCTATTTTTAAGAACTCTTTTAATTGTCGTCTTTTGCACAACAGAGTGTTTACCAGTTTTGAACTGCAATTGTTTCAACTAAACACTACAGAACCAATTGTTTGTGCAATCATATATCGACCTCCTAAATATAACAAGGACTTTTTACAGGAGTTTTCAGACTTTGTAGGTGAGATTTGTTTAAAATATGATTCATTCTTAATCGTGGGAGATTTCAATGTGCATGTGTGTTGTTCTTCCAATGCGCTGGCAAAAGACTTTTTGGATATGATTGACTCTTTTAACCTCACACAACATGTCTCTGGATCCACTCATGTTCATGGACATACCTTGGACTTAATATTAACTCATGGTCTCTCTGTTGGGAATGTTAAAATTCATAATCTGGCTCTTTCTGATCATTTGCCTGTTACTTGTACTATAAAGCTCCCTTGTGTCATTCGTAATACCTCATTACCAAGTCGCCAGGTCCGGAACTTAAATGCAGTCACTATTGAGCAGTTTAAGGATGCATTTGTTGAATCTGATATTAATCTTAATTTGGAGAGCCCTTTGTATTTAGATGTGAATGTGTCACTTGATAATTTTAATTCTGTATGTTCTTCTATCCTAAATTCAATTGCTCCTCTGAGGGTTAAGAGCGTTAAGACCAAACCAGAACCTTGGCTGAACGAGGGTACTCGGGGCCTAAGGCGCGCTTGTAGAAAAGCTGAGCGTAGGTGGAAGAGGGACAAGTTACAGGTATCATATGATATACTGCGTGAGTCTTTAACTGCCTATCAGGATGCAGTTAAGTCATCTAAGAGAACATATTTTGCTGATTTAATCTTAAGGTATCATAACACTCCTAATATTTTATTCAATACAATCAATTCAGTGCTAAATCCTACTACTACATGTCCTACTATGTCCACCATTACATGTGAAGATCTGCTCAGATTCTTTGTACAGAAAACTAATGACATTAGAACACAAGTTGTATCTTGTTCATATGATTTCACAGTTCCTTCTTGTTTCTCCTCTGCTGTGTTTGATCGATTTTTACCTATTTCTTTGGTTTCTCTGACTGAGCTAGTTGGGCAGTTGAAACCTACTAATTGTGGCAGAGATGTTATTCCATCTAGATTAGTTAAGCATGCTTTTGATAATTTTGGACCCAGTATTTTGACTATAATCAATAGAAGTTTCCAAACTGCAGTAGTCCCAATGGACTTTAAGCATGCTGTTGTATAGCCTCTTTTGAAAAAAATGAATTTGGACCCAAATGTCTTATCTAATTATAGGGCTATTTCGAAAATACCATTTTTATCCAAACTTCTTGAAAAAGTCGCATTAAACCAACTGCAGACTTTTCTAGATCAAAATGAGACTTTTGAAAAATTTCAGTCGGGATTTAGATCGAACCATAGTACAGAGACGGCTTTGTTGAAAGTTCTAAATGATATTTTCATTGCAATTGATTCTGGTAGCTCTGTAGTTTTAGTCTTGCTGGATATTAGTTCAGCGTTTGATACTATTGATCATAATATCCTAGTCTCCCGCCTGGAACAAAACGTGGGAATTAAGGGCATGGCACTAGATTGGTTCAGATCCTATTTGTCTAATAGGACGTTTTCTGTTAATTTTGGTCAACATCAATCAAAAGTGGCCCCACTGTCTAGTGGGGTTCCCCAAGGATCTATTCTGGGCCCAATTTTGTTTTCGTTATATATGCTACCCTTAGGTTCTATTTTTCTTAAGCATGGAGTATCCTTTCATTGTTACGCGGATGATACTCAGGTGTATTTACCATTGCGGAAACAGGACAAAAAATATTTTGAGTCACTAATTAGATGTTTACAAGAAGTTAAATCTTGGATGTCAGATAATTTTCTGCATCTGAATGAAAGTAAAACAGAAGTAATTTGGTTCGGGACTCCTGACACAAAAAAATATTTTGACCTGGGCGAGCTAACCCCTTTTTGTAAATATACAGTGAAAAACCTTGGTGTCCAATTTGACAGTTCTTTGAAATTTGACAAACAGATTAATTCTGTAGTAAAATCTTGCTTTTTTCATTTAAGATCAATAGCAAAGGTGAAACCGTTTTTGTCCACAAGTGATTTTGAGAAGATTATTCATGCTTTTATCTCTGTACGACTGGATTACTGTAACTCGTTGTATGTAGGTGTCAGCCAAGTACTGTTGAATCGCCTTCAATTGGTCATGAATGCGTCTGCTAGACTTTTAACAGGGACTCGTAAAAAGCAGCATGTGACTCCGATTTTAGCCTCACTTAATTGGTTGCCAGTGCAGTTCAGAATTGATTTTAAATTATTGATATTTGTATATAAAGCATTACATAATTTAGCCCCACCATATCTTGAGCATCTCCTTCATATGCATAAACCTTCTAGGTCTCTCAGATCAGCAAATCAGATGATCCTAGACATTCCAAGGACTAGATTAAAATTGAGTGGTGATCGGGCTTTCGCAGTGGCAGCTCCAAAGCGCTGGAATAATTTACCTTTACACCTTAGACTTGCTCCCTCTCTAAGTTATTTTAAACGAAATTTAAAATGGCATTTACTAGAATTAGCGTTTGGATCAGTAGGTTAACTTGGTAGGTTATTTGGAGGCTCTTTACAGATATTTGTTAGTTGTTGTATTGTCTGAAAACACATTTTATTATGTAATTTTATTGTGTGTTTTGTACAGCACATTGGTCAACACCACGTTGTTTTAATTGTGCTTTATAAATAAATAAATGAAATGAATGAAATGAAACACCTCTCTCCAGGGCAAAGAGTGCCTCGTCTTTTCGGCACACGACCAAGTGTCTGGGTTCAGGAAAAAGCTGGACTTGTGGTGTGCTCGTGTTGAACGAGGTTCGGTAGAAATGTTCCCAACGCTGGAGGATATTGCGGAGATGACAGGGCTGCCTCTTAACTCTGTCCAACCAGTCATCACTGCGCATTTGACTGGGTTGCGTGACCAGTTTGGCCAGTATTTCCGAGAGGACGCAATGGGAAATCAGTGGGTGAGAAATCTGTTCTCTTTCCCCGTGATGGACTGAGCCTGCAGGAGGAGGAGGCCCTGGTCGACCTCAGCTCGAATATGGACTTGAAGCAGAGACTGGGAGAAATGCGGTTGTCTGTGGAGACCGAGTTCCCCCAGATCGCCACTAAGGCTATGAAAGTCCTAATCCCCTTCACCTCCACCTACTTGTGTGAGTGTGGGTTTTCCGCACTGGCCCTGGTTAAAAACAAATACAGATCAAGGCTGCAGGTGGAGGGCGACTTGCGTTTATATCTCTCTGCAGTGCAGCCCCGCATCGAACACCTCTGCGCATCAAAAGCGCGACCTCATTGTTCCCACTGATATGGCGATTAAACCTCAACTTAAATCTGAGGTTTTATGTGGCTGAAATCGTAAAAATTTTTTATGAAAATATGTGAATGTGTTCGATCTGATAACATGCCTTCAATGCAGTTGACTGTTAAATGTTATGTGTTCCGTGAACAAACAGCGTTGTTCATTGATCAGAGAGCTGTCCATTGTGCGGATTTTGTTCGAGACGATCTGCATCTCCTTCAAATGTGCGCTTAAGGCCCAGACACGCCGCGCCGATTTCAGCCGTTGGGTGTCGTTAGCTTTGGCGCCGATTACACGTTAAGCATGTTTTGTTGACTTGTGGTTAGGCCTACTGATGTTCAGTGATTTTAAAAGTAGCCTCAATTAGGCCTGCATGAATTATTTGCTGTTGCAAAGAATCGTTTATGAATGCACTTTTAAAAAAGTTGTGGAAATAATACGTCTTCAAATACAATATTAAATTAAAGCTGCAAGCAGCCTTACGGGGCCAAGCCTTCAATGGTTCCATGGGTTCAAAAAGTACTTAAAAATACTTTGCTTTCAAAACTTTAAAAGAAACTTTAATAACCAAAGTATTCTTACTCATTAACTTCTTACCTCACAAAAGAAATGAGATCATCCAGCTGCCGAGGTTCAGTAGTAAAAAAGAGAATGAACTCAAAATAAAGACTTTGCATATAAATGAAACACACGTTGTATTTAATAGGAAGAAAGAATAGTACAATGCGTTTCAGGATGATAAAGAAATTGAAATGACACAACTTTATAAAGTTGTAAGACAAAGGACTTGAACCCACAATCTCTGGGTCATATGCCTGTCACTCATTGAGCCCCTGGAAAGTCATGTGTTTCCATAGATGTAGAAGTTCCATAGTTCAAATGAGAATCAACTCAAAATGAAGATTTAGTATTTAAATGGACAGCATGTTACGTTTAATGAGTTTAGTTGATATTATTGTGATTCACTGTTAGGTGGTTGTCCTGCACCTT